TTGTGCAACTCTGGCTAATTCTTGAATTTGTCTGCTAATACTGTTGGCTCCAGTATAATAAATTGCTTAATTTTCCTTATTTGTAATTCACTTTTTATATAAGTGTGTGCTAATTGATCAAATGTAATTGTCCTAATTACCCCAGACATCAGTGGACCTCCAGACCAGGACTGAAGGAATCCTTAAAGGATTGGTTCACTTTCAGAATGAAAATTTCTTGTTATTTTGCCAAGATGTTCATGTCTCTCCTTCTTCAGTCAAAAAGAAATTAAGGTTTCTGAGGAAAACATTCCAGAATTTTTCTCCATATAGTGGACTTCATTGGGGATCAATGAGTTTGAAGGTCCATATTGTAGTTTCAATGCAGCTTCAAAGGGCTGAACACGATCCCAGCCGAGGAATAAGGGTCTTATCTAGCGAAACGGTTGGTCATTTTCTAAAAAAATAATAATAATTATATACTTTTTTAACCACAAATAATCATTTTTCACTAGCTTGACCTCCCACGCATTACATAAGTAAGTACGTTTTATTTATAGAGCACATTTAAAATTCAGCGTTACACTTACCAAAGTGCTGAACAAAACCAATAATAAAATACAGGAAATTCTATACTAAAAATACTAAAATAAAGTAAAATTTAAAAAACAATAATAATAAAAAATTGTAGTATCGGCAATAACAACAGTTTCACATTCAATTAATAGCCCGGAAAGGCGAGAGAGTAAAAAGGTGTCTTAAGTCTGGACTTGAAAATAAAAACAGAAGAAGCACTCCTAATGTCAGGTGGCAACTGATTCCACAAACATAGAGCAGTGACTGGACACTAAAACTGGAGAAATATGTTCGCGTTTTTTGGTGCCGGTTAACAATCTAGCCGCCGCGTTCTGAACCATCTGCAGCCGTGCCAATGAAGATTGTGGAAGACCAACATATAACGAATTACAATAATCCAGGCGTGATGTGATAAAAGATTTTAATGGAAGATACAGCTGAGAATCATCTGCATAAAAATGAAAAGAGATTTTATATTTCCTTATGATATTACCAAGTGGAAGCATATACAGATTAAAGAGTAATGGACCCAAAATGGACCCCTGAGGGACCCCATAGAGAAGAGAGGCAGATGATGAGATAAACTGGCCAACAGACACTGAAAATGACCTGGATTTCAGATACGATTCAAACCAGCTAAGTGCTGTACCCTTTATGCCCACCCAATGTTCAAGGCGTGACAGAAGGATAGTATGATCAACTGCAATCTAGACGTGGGAGACAGAAGTTTGTGCTTGTGATTGACGGACATACTTCAATGATTTAATATTTTGAAGATTCACGCCCCTTCTTTGGACGCGCAATCGAGGAGGAGCGCAGAAATCAGCCGACTGCCACTGGTCCGGTATAATGGGCAGATGACAGGCATATCTCACATCCCACGAACGCCGAGCCAGGTATAAACCACGGTGACCATAAAAGATAACACCTAGATTTTTTACATGAGACTTAACATATGGAGTAAGGTTTTCTAAGTTCCCAACAACAGAATTTCTAGTTTTAGAGGGACCAAAGAGAATCACCTCAGTTTTATCATTGTTGAGCTGCAGGAAGTTATTTGACATCCAGCATTTTATATCCTCAAGACAGTCGATGAGAGGCTGCAGAGAATCTCGAGATTTTAATGGAAGATACAGCTGAGAATCATCTGCATAAAAATGAAAAGAGATTTTATATTTCCTTATGATATTACCAAGTGGAAGCATATACAGATTAAAGAGTAATGGACCCAAAATGGACCCCTGAGGGACCCCATAGAGAAGAGAGGCAGATGATGAGATAAACTGGCCAACAGACACTGAAAATGACCTGGATTTCAGATACGACTCAAACCAGCTAAGTGCTGTACCCTTTATGCCCACCCAATGTTCAAGGCGTGACAGAAGGATATTATGATCAACTGTATCAAAGGCAGCACTAAGATCCAATAAAACCAAAACTGCATTATCACCAGAATCAACCGACAGTAGCAAATCATTCATCACTTTTAACAAAGCTGTTTCAGTACTGTGGTGGGTAGTGAAACCTGATTGAAAAGGTTCAAGTATATGAGTTGATTTTAAAAAAGGAAGTAATTGTGACAGGACAACTCTTTCCAGAACTTTTGAAAGAAATGGGAGTTTTGAAATAGGACGATAGTTATTCAAGCAATTAATATCGGCATTGGGTTTTTTAAGCAATGGCTGGACAACTGCATGCTTCAAAAACGCAGGGACAGTGCCAGAAACTAAGCAAGAATTAATAATTACTTGAATACTAGGACCAATTGTATCAAAAGCAACTTTAAAAAAGTCAGAGGGAACAGCATCATAAGTTGAATTTGAAGATTTCGTCTGCATCACTAATTCCCTTAACTCAGAGAGAGACACCGGCTGAAAGCTGCACAAGGTAGCTGAAGAAACTGAACAGTCGACCAAAGAGCTAGAACAAAGAGGAACAAATGAAGATTGAATGCCAGCAATCTTTTCAATAAAAAATCTCAAAAATCTCTCACAAATATCTGGTGATTGTTCAACTTCATATGAGATGCGAGGATTAATTATTGAATTTATAGTGCTAAATAAGATTTTAGGGGTATGAGAATGTTTATTGATAATATCAGAAAAGTATTTAGCTCTAGCTATTTTTGCTGCCTTCTGAAAGTTCTCCAGGGATTCTTTAAAAATGTCAACAGAGACCGTAAGATGATCTTTTTTCCATCGCCGCTCTGCTTTTCGACAAATCTGTCTAAGCGAACGAGTGGAGTCATCCAGCCATGGTTGTGATTTAAATTTTGGACATTTATATTTCAGGGGAGCTATAAAATCCAGGATATCTGAACAAGAAGAGTTAAAGAGAGAAATTAGATCATCTGGACTTGAGGAATGTTCAGCAGCAACTGAAATTGCTGTGGACACTTCATTACTATGATACATATCTGAAAACTGATTAGCAGTGAGAGAGTTGATGCAACGAGAATAAAAACCTGTAGTTTTTATAGTACTCAAAAAGCTAGATAGGGTGACATTAAATACAATGGGCTTATGATCTGAAAAGCAAGCATCTTCAATGTTTATGTTATCAATGGAAAACCCATAAGACATGATAAGGTCCAGGGTGTGGCCAAGTACATGTGTAGCCTTATCAACATGCTGAATAAAACCAAAAGAATCTAAAACATGGATAAACTCAGCAACCATGGGCTTTCCAGGACAGCAAACGTGAATATTAAAATCACCTAAAATTAACAGACGATCATATGATGTGATAATATGAGAAACAAATTCAGAAAACTCTTTTATAAAATGTTTATCTGGCTTTGGGGGCCTGTAGACCAAAACACAGAATAGCGGAGTGGTAGCAGAATCTATCAGAACACATTGAGATTCAAAAGTGGTAAAGTTCCCAACAGAGACAGTCCGAGATTTAAACCAGTTCCTGAAAACCATAGCCACTCCACCTCCTTTTCCAACACATCTCGGAGTGCTAAAAAAACAAGTTTGAAGGACAAAGTTCGCCAAAAACGGACGACTCACCCGCTCCAGTCCAGGTCTCAGTTAAAAATAAGAAATCCAATTCGTGTCTAGTAAAAAAGTCATTCAAAATAAAAGTCTTATTAGACACAGATCTGGCATTTACCAAGGCCATCTTAACGTGGGAGACAGAAGTTTGTGCTTGTGATTGACGGACATACTTCAATGATTTAATATTTTGAAGATTCACACCCCTTCTTTGGACGCGCAATCAAGGAGGAGTGCAGAAATCAGCTGACTGCCACTGGTCCGGTATAATGGGCAGATGACAGGCATATCTCACATCCCACGAACGCCGAGCCAGGTATAAACCACGGTGACCATAGGAAAGTGTTGCGGGACAAGTAGAAAGTTGAGCCGAAGAGATGTAAACTTCTCTCCTAATCCTCACCCGGACACCTCCACGATTTCCTCTCCTTCTTCTGCGACGTTTCCGCTGATGGATAATACAGCAAGGAAGCCGACGAATAAACGCGGCCGAGGGAAGAGAGAACGAGGAGTAACAATAATCCTGTACAATGGGACAGTCTCTAGGTTGATTCTCTAACAAACTTTTGAGGTGTAGCAATACTTGGCGATCATAGGTAAAGATAGCATCAGCACAATGCATTAACAACAGCAGAGAAAGCACCGAAAGGCAGAGTACTGAATGGATATTTAAAAACTGACGAGACAAACGTTAATAATTATAATAAACGTTACGTAATTATGTTGGAAAGGTCACGCGTGATGTAGGCGGAAGTACCGACCTAGTGTTTACAAAGCAAACATGCAAAGAAAGTCACATTACGTAATGCATGAAGACGCGCATGCTCATTGCAGAGCTAGTGCAAGACAAGCATTTGTGGTTAAAAAGTGTATAAATTGTAATTTTTTAAAGAAAATTAACAATTTTTTAGAACTTAACCAATTAAGTTCATTAAGACGTGGCACTATAATGTCCTCCTTACCCAGAGCTGAATACTATTAGAAGTATTCTCTAGTAATCCACAGAAACACAAGTGAGTCCACACAAATATTGAAGCTGCGTCACTGAGCCCACTAATTGCTGAGATGTTTAAATGTGGTGTTCGTGTAGATGCCGTTTTCTCTAATCGAGATATCAAAGCCATCCTGTCAAGGCTAATATTAGATCAGTAACGCTTTAGCTATGGTATTTCAAAGCTATTACTTGCATATATCACATAATTGTGACATTGCTGCACAGTAAGTGGTTGTGATTAAAATATAATGGGAGGGTTCGACAAAGACAGTGAGAGAGAAACTAACCATCTACTGTGCAGCCCACTTCCTGGGCAGGGCGAGAAAGTGTTACAGTGAGGAAAGGGGGATGGGGAGGGCTGCACCAGCTGCTGGAGAAGCACTGGATGGGTCAATAAGACTGAGAGTGTGCCACAACGACCGGCAGCCTTAGTTAGGTAAGTTTACACCGGGATGGAGAGGGCGAATTTGGCGTCTCCATGGTTCTGGATGGAAGACAACATGCACTGGCCTGGCTGTGTGCCCTGGGATCTGGATGAGGAGGATCTAGTGCAAGGTAAACTGTATTAATATGCTCCTGTCGTTCAGACAGTCCTTTAAGAACAGCAAAGAATGTTAGCATTAGCATCAAGTAGAGACTATAATCCACTGGCTTTCGTCCACCAGATGTGCATTGTCCCACTTACTACTGTGGAATTTGTCTGCGATTAATGTTTTAGCTGGTGCAGTATCTGTTCTGTATGTCAAGAGACGGTGCTGTGGTTAGTAGAAGGCTGCTCATTTTTACCTCTTCGGTTGTGCCCTCACAGATTTCAGGTTTCAGGACATCATTTGAAACTGAGCTCAGCAGAATCAGGGCATCTGACACCAGCGGTTCTCGCATACTAGGGCTGGTGAAAAGACAGAATCGCTTTGGATGTCACTTTTATAGCACTTTTATAGGTTGTAAACCTTAGACGTTTCAAAAATGAGCAAGATAATTTAATTTTGTTTTTTTATTTATTTTTTTTATTTTTGCAATTGCAGTAATCCTTCCTCATTGTCACACTCCAACTGACCTGTTCAATGTTGACCATCTCTCATTGAACAAGTTAACTGGCTTCCATTGGCTCACAAGGTGTCACGTGCACACGCTGATGATGTTGTTTGGTCTGCTTTTCATTGCATTTTCTCTCAGAATAACACTTACTATAATAAAGGAGGTGTTACTGCAAGTAATGATTTATGTGGATTTCTAAAGAAGAGCGAGAAGAAATTCAGTATACTGTTTACACCCATTTAATATTGCATCAAGCTTTTCAACCCATCATGCATAGTTCTTTACATTCCACACAGAAAACAACAACGCCTAAAATTTCATCATGAAGGCAAGAGATGCACTCTTTTTTTATCACTCAAAGAGATACAGTACAACAATCATGACAACTACAATGCAAAGAAACAGTGAAAATAGTAAACAATGAGGCGATAATTTACATGATTTATGCATGCTTTTTCTAGGAAACTGCAGAAATCACAAAATGCATATTTCTGTGTTGCATATATTGGATGAGGTTTATGTGTATGCCGGGTTGAAGAGTTTGATTCATTATCCGTGATTAACAATGAGTAAAAGTGATTCAGATGATTAACCGTGATTAAAACCTCTTCTGAAGTCTGTTACACTGTAATGTTCTATAGTGACGTCTGACCTTTAAAATACTGTTCGCTGTAAAACCCTGTAAAAGTTTCTGATATGATGCCATAATCTTTACCACTGAAAAAGGTTCTCTAAATAAATGGAATTTATTTGTTCATACAATGATAAACAATCTTTAACTGAAAAACTGATAATGTGAATGAGAAGTTGATAAAGTTTACAAAAACACAAAATAGCACATCTGAGACTTAGTTACAGAAATTATCTACAGAATAAAGTTTTAGTGAAATCTATGTTAAGCAGTTCAGTCTGAATTAATTGGTGGATAACATTTGTGGATAAGGAGGAAAAATGTAGGTTTGAGGACTATCAGTTCTGTGATGATTCGCAAGCAGTGTAATTATGAGTTTCTCCCACCTATAATTAATTGTCTTTTGTCTTCATCTTCATTCCATCTTTTTAAAAACTGTGGAATACTTCCCCACTTTATCCCCAGACACTTTCATGTGCAAAGGGGATTCAGATTTAAGCTTGTGGTTTTTTATGTAACCGTTGCTTATCAACTAAAACGGTATTCTCTGAGCAAGTAAAGTGCCATTAGACACAACGCAGTCCGTCATGTGGGTATGCTATATTATAAGAAAATATTTATCTTCAAGTGTTTTTCAGTGTTATGTCATCAGACTCATTCCTATCATTTTTTCTGCATGCCTGCATCCCGCTAGTTTATGTTGTCCATCCCACAGCCGTGTCGACATATCAGTGCTGCTCATTCTTTCCTAAATAGGGCTACTAATTCTTTTGAGCAGTTTTCTTTTGAGTTCAATTTGAGATATGTAATGCAGCTTAATAGGCATATTTTGACTGTTAAATAATGGAAAAGCCATGTGAAGTTATGCTAGAGCCACAACTGTTACACTAAATGTTCCTTTTAATGGAGACACATAATAGGTCGCTTAACAGAGTTTCCAAAGGTTTCATTTGAGTTGGAATGACATTTAATTTTACACTTGATATAGATAAAATAAGAGAAGTTTGGTGAAGAATTTTTCAGTTATGAAATTAGAAAAGTTTTCCGTCCTGACTTCTACCAAATTTGCATTTGACCTTTTGAGAAACTATTTACATAATGCATTGTGGACATAGAGCGAGTGTGTTTTTGATGGTGCATTTTAGAGGGCACATTGATTATAAGCCTTTAATGAGAGGTATTTTAGGCCACTTGCAAGGATATTCGTCTTCCATTCGAGCCTCGCCAGCTACTCTGAACGTCTCTTGAGGCTGTTTTGGTTAAATCTTGCTTAAATAAAATCAATGCTGAGGTCTCCATAATTAGGATTCCTGGGTTGTTGATTAAACACCGCTCAAGAGGAGAGCGTGTGTTGGAACGCCTCTCAAACTTCCCATCAGGGACATGGAGGTGCCGCCAGGGACATCCTGATGTGTTTTAGATACTCATCTGCCCTAAATACATAGTGTAGCAAAACTTGCCTCATTTCACCTGCATTGTAAGTGATTTTTATTTAAATGGCTCCTTCATTAAAATTATTTACAAGACCAAGGACATTTTAGTGAATTTCTCTGAGCATATATTAATAGATCTGTCCTTTTGTTAAAGGATTAGTTCACCCCATTGGAAAAGAAATTCAGAATGCTTGAGGCACCAAAAAACTATTTTGTGTGATGAGCTTAAAAGTCTTTTTTCACTTATAATCTCCAGTCAGATGTTAACCAATGCAACCAGATTAGAGTTGAACTTGAGTCAAAATCGTGAGTGAAATGCTTTATGAATTGGATGAAGTAATTCATTGAAAAGATTTGACTCAAAAGAACGATTCCATTCTGAATCAGGCATCACCACTTCTCCCCTAAACATTGATGAACTTGCTAGACTCCATACAGAGGGTTTTCTTGTAATGTGTTTTCTATTTTAATTAAATTCTGTAGTGGTTCATTTGTCCCTCGTGCCAAGAACTGACAAGATTTCCAACAATTTCCAAGCTTCATCTACTCCTCAGCAATCTTCTCCTTTCTGTCCCTTACTCTTACTTTCTCGCTCGTAGTGACTCATATGGTGGTATGTCACACAGTATCGTTCTCTTTTCCATTATGGTGAATCACATCACTTTGTTGGCTCTGGAGAACCTGACATTGATCCACGCTGGCCCATTTCACTGCCTGCAGTCTCACTGGCTTTTATTTAGCGAGTACCCTGTGCAATGCCGCCCACATCACTGGAAATCCTTCCAGAGTTCCTCCTTCAAAGGAAATCCCAGTCGTTAGCCAAAGAGCGTGTTAATTAGAGCCTGACCGGAGTTTCATGAGGAGGAAGTGTAAAGTCAGGTAGAATAGAGTGCAATAGAGAACACCTACTTTTTTCACAGTTTTAGTTACGGAAGTATATTTTTCCTATTCATTTTCTTCATAAAGATAAAATATATTTATTTAATACTTCCATGAACTTCCATGAACTACAACACAACATTACAAACTTTGATTTAAAGCAAAAATTAAATGACACTGTTCTAAAATTATTTTGAATTGGAGACTCCCTTCACAGGGTTATGGATGGTGTAAAGGGATAGTTAACCCAAAAATGAAAATTCTGTCATCATTTACTCACCCTCAGGTTATTCCAAACCAAGTTTCTTTTTTCTGTTGAACACAAAAGAAGTCACTTTGAAGAATATGGGTAACCAAACAGTTGATGGTGCCCATTGACTTCCATAGCATGGAAAAAGTACTATGGACGTCAATGGGGACCATCAACTTTTTTTTCTTCTTTTTTTTTTCAGAATATATACTTTTGTGTTCAACAGAAGAAATAAACTTATACGGAGTTGAAACAACTTGTAAATGAATTTTAGGTGAACTATCCCTTTAAAATATATAGAAAATGAGAAAAAATATAAATGGGAAGAGGTAGAAGTGTGAGTCTGCTTGGACATAGACGTAGATGCTGCTGACACACAGTAAGCTCTTCCTTGTCTACAGCTGGTAATGAGGACAGATCAATCCCGCTGTCGACCACTAAGCCAGTCAGCTATTGTCTGTACTTAACATTAATCACATAGAGGTCAAGTGTGGGCATGCATTATTGAAACGGTTGGTTTGTTGGTTCGTTTATGGAGGCATTAATTTGGAACGAGACTTTCAAATATATCTATGAGGACACCTACACTGATAGCCAGTCTCAGTCTTCAGGCTAATGAGATGCCTATTTGTCATTGTAATTGCTCAGATTTTTTTAGCATTGTCTGTGGAATCAGGGCACAAATTAGACTTGTGTCTGAGGGGCAGATAAGCCGTTACCACTAGTTGGAAATCTGAATCAAACACAACTCGGATTAGCGAATTGTTTATACTGTAAGGCATTAATGAGGAGGAAGTGTAAAGTCAGGTAGAATAGAGTGCAATAGAGAACACCTACTTTTTTCACAGTTTTAGTTACGGAAGTATATTTTTCCTATTCATTTTCTTCATAAAGATAAAATATATTTATTTAATACTTCCATGAACTTCCATGAACTACAACACAACATTACAAACTTTGATTTAAAGCAAAAATTAAATGACACTGTTCTAAAATTATTTTGAATTGGAGACTCCCTTCACAGGGTTATGGATGGTGTAAAGGGATAGTTAACCCAAAAATGAAAATTCTGTCATCATTTACTCACCCTCAGGTTATTCCAAACCAAGTTTCTTTTTTCTGTTGAACACAAAAGAAGTCACTTTGAAGAATATGGGTAACCAAACAGTTGATGGTGCCCATTGACTTCCATAGTATGGAAAAAGTACTATGGACGTCAATGGGGACCATCAACTTTTTTTTCTTCTTTTTTTTTTCAGAATATATACTTTTGTGTTCAACAGAAGAAATAAACTTATACGGAGTTGAAACAACTTGTAAATGA